CAATATAAGTTTGATTCAATACGTGTATTTGAAGAAACACCAGAAGACATGTTGACTTTCTTTGAAAAACGGATTACGTTAACCAATAAACTAAGGTATTTCAGAATATGTGTACACTTTCTGTGAGAGTTTATTGTAAACGAATCGTTTCTTTTTGGAAATGAATAAAGCTCATATAAGAAAAGCAGAAATAATAATCGTATAAATATATTTTACCCAGAGATGCATCAATTCACAATTGAACTTTACGAATAAACCATCATCCTTTTTCCGATCTGGATATAAACAACTAAATGAATAACAATGCCCGAGAATACCTACCACAGAGAAGCGACATTAACGTCGGATCCTTTGATGTTCGGTGTCCCAACTCCAAACCGAAGATTTTGAGTGATAAACTTCATTGGAAATATATCACATGTTTCGCTAAACAATAGCTTTTTGAAGTGATTATTACATCAAATTATCCTTACATTCATATTTATATACTACAGGTAACCATAAGTGAGACTACCTGTAAGAAATTACCTGAACCTCGTATCTGCTCAATTATGATTACCTAAAACATATTGCCTCACATCTACATCAATAACAATTCTTTCTAGGTTTTTAAGAAAACAAGTTCAATAATGGGAATCTATTCAAATCTACTTGGTCATTCATTAGAATGTTTGAATTTTTAAGTTCATTAATTTCCATTGCTTTCAAATGATTCAGTTTCAAACCTTTATTTTCAATGTGCAATATTTCGAACTCTTCATTAAAGATGTGATTTTCTTCTAGAAAATGATTTTGATATGTTGAATTTGTTTTCTTATTTACATAGCTCTTATGATGTTCCTGGATTCGATTCCTAAATGTCCTGCCAGTTTGACCAATATATACCTTAGGGTATATAATCAATTTATCACAAACCGTCCTATACGGCTATTACGATACATTACGTTTCTACCCATCCGTATCAACACAAAGAAGCAGCTTATAATAGCATGATTCACAGATTAGTCAATGTTCCTCTTTCAATAGATGATTTTGATAAAGCTCAAATTCAGATTCTGTACAATAAAACAACATATGATTCGGAAATCATCAATAGTGAACTCAGTAATCATTTCATACACTCTGTATGACATTGATTCTGATGCAAATCATAATATTGTGCACACTGTACAATAAAATAATATATGATTCAGAAATCACCAATACTGAACTCAGTATTCATTTCATACACTCTGTATGACATTGATCTCAATGCTAATCGTAACTATACCTACGATAAAATAACATATGATTCAGAAATCACCAATACTGAACTCAGTATACATTTCATACATTCTGTATGACATTGATATCAATGCTACTCGTAATATTGTACACACTGTACAATAAAACAACATATGATCCCGAAATCATCAATACTGATCTCAGTATTCATTTCATACATCCTGTTTGACATTGATTCCAATGCAAATCATAATATTGTGCACACTGTACTATAAAATAACATATGATTCAGAAATCACCAATACTGAACTCAGTATTCATTTCATACACTCTGTATGACATTGATCTCAATGTTAAACGTAACTATACCTACAATAAAATAACATATGATTCAGAAATCACCAATACTGAACTCAGTATTCATTTCATACACTCTGTATGACATTGATCTCAATGCTAATCGTAATAGTGTACATACTGGACGATAAAATAACATATGATTCTGAAAGCATCAATACTGATAGTAATCATTTCATACATCCTGTATGACATTAATTTCAATGCAAATTGTAATATTGTACACACTGTACAATAAAACAACATATGATGCTGAAATCATCAATACTGATCTCAGTATTCATTTCATAAACTCTGTATGTCATTGATCTCAATGCGAATCGTAATATTGTACACACTGTACAATGAAATATCATATGATCCGGAAATCATCAATACTGAACTCAGTATTGATTTCATAAACTCTGTATGCCAGTGATCTTAATGCGAATCGTAGTATTGTACACACTGTACAATGAAATATCATATGATTCGGAAATAGTCAAAACTGAACTCAGTATTCATTTGATACACTCTGTATGACATTGATCTCAATGTAAATCGTAATATTGTTCACACTGTACAATAAAACAACATATCTTTCAGAAATTATCAACACTGAACACAGCATTCATATCATAAACTGTGTACGAGATTGATTTCAATAGAAATCGTAACTATACAATAAAATATCATATGATTCGGAAATCATCAATACTGAACTCAGTAATCATTTCATACACTCTGTATGAGATTGATCTCTATGAAAATCGTAACTATACAATAAAATATCATGTGATTCGGAAATCATCAATATTGAACTCAGATTTTTTCGGTACAACATACAGGAATCCATATATAGTCATAGTCATCTTCAAGAAAATGTATTTTTCTCAAAGATCATATGCCCAACGGCATTTGAATTCAACTGATGAATTAATAAGGAAAATTCCTACCTTTGTTCAATGGAAGACGAGAATTTATGTTTAGTCATAGTAATCTTGATGTATTGTATATGCATACGTATGTATACATTCGTCTCCCAAAAAGGAATGTTTTCTTGCACAATAATTCAGCTGATAAATAATACGGAAAATTCTTACTTCTGTTCAATGGCAGACGTGAATCTATCCCGCCGCTGCTTTATAAAAAAAGCAGAAATAATAATCGTATAAATATATTTTACCCAGAGATGCATCAATTCACAATTGAACTTTACGAATAAACCATCACCCCTTTTCGGTCTGGATATAAACAATGTTGAATGAATAAGAATGAATGTGAAATGTTGATAGGATTAGATATTTTTTTTTCAATTTTAATTATATATGATATTTTTTCCACTATGTATTTGACTTGTTGACAATATTGAAATGTTATGAACGTAGACCAAATAGTCATGCCGACCTGATTTTGTATTTGAAAATGTGAAGTGAAATTAAAATGAAATTTTAATATTAGTATACCGATGAAAATACTCGTTTTGATCTTGATTCATTTAGAAGTCATGACAAAGCACTCAAATGTCTGCTTGTGATAAACTGTTTTGCCTGCTGTTCGCGTCCTTCTTACAAGTGTTATTGATTCTCATGAAGCAATGGGTGAGAGCATTCGTCATTTTTCAAAAAAATTTGGTCAGGCGTCACAATACAATATTGTATGTTGCAGTATTTTGGACTTCCAAGTGTAAATCTCACATCAAAATGTTTTCGAGTACGTTATGATGAATTTTAGTTGATTATCAGTCAGTTTCATCATATTACTACCGTTAGTTATATAAGATTTATATCGTACTCTTCTTTTTAGATCCTGCGGGATATTATTATATACTTTCTGACCCACGTATAAGAAGTTACGTTGACCTATAGTTTTTTGGATTTTGGGTAGTACAATATTTTCATATGTTTTGAATCGCGTATATTGGTGTGGAATATAGAAAATCTTGTACTACCCTTAACTAAAAATGATTTCGCATCTTGGATATTCTCAGACTCTATGGTTGATATTTTCGATATATTAAAATCCCTTAAGTAGGTGTCCATTTCAGGACACCTACCTACCATGAATTGATTATTAGTAATATGAATATTACTACACCAAAGGTTCCAAACAGTGCATCGTAAATTAGTAATATAGTTGATATATATCCGTTTCGTTCTTTTTTGTAAATTAAGATGAAATAAAAAACAAAAACAACAGGTATAAGATATGGTATCACTTTTTGCTGCTCCTAGTAGTTTTTGGATTGCATTGATATATCTGAGATTTTGTTTTGTTGGTATCACTTTCCGCCACTGGTGGGCTGAATCCTGTACGTTTTGTTAGCTTCTTTGGTTTGGTTTTCGGTACCGCTCTGCTTGTTGGTTTCTCTTTTCCAGATTTCCTTCGTGTGTGTTCGACTCTTCGTTATTATAGTCTCTTTATTTCTGTTTTTCAATGTTTCTAAGGTCTTCTGGAGTGAATTCACTTTCGTTAATCATTATCTTGTGGTCAGATATTCTTACACCCTGTCCGCACCCTGTCGAGTATTCCTGGACAGGGTGCGTTTTCTTAAATACGAGATCATTTCAATAACTTCAGGCGAGTCTTCTGTTTTTTTTCCTCTGGTGTAGAAGTCGTATATATCCCTTTCTTACAAATCTGTTTCCAGGGTGGAAGTCAGTTCTTTGAGTATATTTTTAAGAGAGCTTATTTCAGTGCCAAAAATTATTATATTATTTTTCCTCATTTTGCGTTCTAGGTGTATGAATCTGCTTTTGAGGGTTCCTACTTCTTTGTTTACTGTTTCCACTTCCTTCGTTACTTTGTTGAATTCAATTTTGAGTTCTTCAGTTTGCTTTTTATTGGCCCCAATGAACAGTTCGAAGAGTTGTTGATATTCTGGCGACATTGTTGGATCTTCCATAACGTTGTTGCCAAAGTTATTGGGCTACTGGTTGTTGGTGGACTAGAGCTGTAACCGTCTAATCTAGCTGCGTATTATTATCAAGTACTTTCTTGGTTTTTTCTCATTTTGTCTTCAATCGAGGACCGCCTGCCCGGTACTGACGATGCCCAATAGGCTGAAACAGCTGTATAAATTTTTTAAGGAACGGAAGTTATAAAGGATTATTTGCAGTTTTTATATCATATATTTTATATAAATACGAAACATATAAAAACTTCTTTTTGACCTCTTTATGAATACGATCTATATAGAATTTCGGTCTTCTATCGTTCAATATGATTCGAAATCTATGAAAGACCAAATAAAATCAGAATGAAAAGCTATAATATCAATTATATTGAGCAATAATACCTGAAATGAATAAAATAATCAAGATACAATGTGAAAATTACTACTTGAATATGGATACCACGTGGGTCTTCTAGTAAGGCTCGTATCTTTGCCACCGTGGGCGTGATGAACGCAAAATTGCAACGGAAAATCTTCGAGGACTCTAGTAGGTCCTAGGACGTGAGGAGTTGGCGAAGTCAACATTATTTCTCTGCAAATTTTGAATGCCGTAACTTCCTTTGCTTCCACGACCTCTGATCACTGGTGTGCTCCGTATCTCAACACTGTTTCCTGTTGGCAAAGCTCTGCTCACAATGATTTTTGTTCCGTTGATCGTCGGATTTGTAATTTTTAGCAGATTGTCCACAACTTCTTCAGACTTGTATCTTATAATAAAAAAACCTTCAGTCTGCTTTCTGATAGTGTCATACGGCATTGTTAACTCCAACATTTTGCCAAATTGGTCGAAACACGTTAAAATGTCATTGTCGGTCAGATTCGACGTTAATGCTTTCACCACCATGGTATCTCCTTTGGGTTCGGCTTTTGTGCCCTCTCTCGTACTGTCTCTGCCGATGATTTCGCTAAAGTCACCTTGATTTTCCGTAACCTTGTCTGAACTATCACTGATGTGATAACTTTTCCCAGAATGATCACCGATGTGATTTTCCATCTTGCTCATGGTTATATTATAAAAAGACAGTTTTCAGATGAAGTAAGCACTTGAAGTTGTAACTGAAACTGAATGTCAATGCCCATATTCATGATAGCCTTTTTAACTGTTCAGAGGATAGTTAGAAAATATGGAGCAACAAAAAGATTTACTCCTAAATTTGGCTTGATGTTTTAAATCTCAATAGTTGTTGGCCACAGAAAATAAGCGTTTTAAGTGCCCAGTTTGAAACCATATAAACTAGTCACTGGTGGCTCAGTGGGACAGATGGGTGGGTACGTTAAGCTAAGTTCAAACAAGAATAAGTAATTATGTTTAATCACCTCAAAAATACCAAGTGACAATCACTATTTCACTTAATATTTCCCAATAATATATATACATGAATATCAAAAAGGCAACCAATACTGTAGAAAAATCTTATATTGGTAAACAATAACTTCAATTTCAAAATGATTAATTACTGACCAAAATCACCTATTTGTACCAGTAACTACCTGAATAACATAGATCTAACTCAATCAAACTAAATGTAACATAATTAGGATAACTATACCGCAGTGCACTTTGGTTTTCAATGAACTGGTCTATATAGGGTTCAAAATTTAATGATATTGTGATAAGGTAAATTAAATGAAAGGTGATATCAATACTGATAATAATCGACTGGAAATTGAATTCTTGGTGGTATTCTTCAATACATGTGGTTACATGGAACGGACTCACCGGGATAGATGAAATATGCTCTCAGCTATACGGTGTGGTCAGGTTTATATACAAGAAAAATATACTCTCAGCTTAAAGGACTCCTCATGTTATTGATTAACGTATTTTGTGCGTCTTTTTGTTCTGGCATAAGGGTGGATTTGTTTACCCAAGTAATCATTTAAGCATTGTGTATGTTATAGGATTTTGGGAATTTATCAAAATTGCTGCTTTTCCTTTTAATCAGTTCTTGAAATGTGTAATGAGAAGACATTTCTGATCGTTTGTAGCTAATGCGAAAGCTTGATCACGTGCATTTGAGAATGTGTTTAATAAAATGCTGTCGCTATCATAATCTGGTATTAATATCATAATCTGGTATTCATTTAAATAGTTCGGATAATTTATATGTGTTAGCCATCATGTAAAATTTTGTAATGTTAAAGTTTCATATGTTACTTTTTTTTTCAATTGGCTTTTCTCTTCAGCTGTATGAAGAATTTTATGTTTCAATTTGGTTTTGGATGAAATTGGGTGATAATGGGATGGGTAAGAGAACTTCGATATACAATCAGTTAAGATGATAATTCAAAGTCACTTACATTAGCGATTCTGGTTTGCTGAAATCTTCCGTCAGGGGCTTCACTAGGTGTTCCTGATTCACAGGAGGTTTCTACAGGTTTTGACGATTGGGGTTGCCTTGGGATTCGCTGTCAGAGGTTTCACTAATCCACAGGACTCTCAAGACAGGGTTGGTTTGGTTTCTTACTGAATCTTTTTCTTTTGTCGTGCTTCCCTTCGGTGTGGAGGATGAAATCCTACTTCATAAAGCCGTCCTTCCACTTGGGTTGCTTTCATTTGTTTTTTTTTCCTTTGAAGATCTGTAGGAGCTTCTCTGGTACCTCTCTTCTTAGTTGGCTTGGAGTTTCTACGTTTTTAGAAATCCTATCGACTGCGCCACTTTTTTACTTGAGTTTTGAATATAAACTTTTTAAAAACAACTTTATTTTGTTTCACAATATAATGATTCACCAAGATAATAATAATAACTTCAACTGGAACAAATGCTTGGCCAAATGAGCACGGGGGCTCCGGGTCTGCCTGCTTTTAAAGGTTATCCCCACCGGAAGTCGTTTGTGTTCTATTTCTGGACTGATAAACAAGAAAGGTTATTATTTAACTGCGTAATTATTAATACGAGGTAGTTCTGGATAATGAGCCATTGTTTAATATCATATAACATTTATTTAAACAAGTATATTTTGTAATTCATTGCCATAAAGGTACATTGACAACTTATCGAAAAAGATTACTCATTTATATTTAATATTTTACTATAGATATTTTCTTGGATAAGTTGTCAATTTTGTTTTTTTACAATTTTCTTACGATTTATAGAAAAATAAACACTTTCGATTGATAAACATTAAGAAAGAAGAACACTAATGGTGAATTTGGTTTGTCCATGTTGAGGAGAGTCCGAATCTACAATGAAATGGCCATTTCCGGATTTCACTTCCCTCCGTCTGAATTCGATAATTTTGACATCAATAGATTCGTCTCGATGTCAAGAAAAATATTTAGGCATTTTCAGAAGTGTAAAAGACATAGAACGCAAAATTTATTGTGTACAGGGTGTATCAAAATACATCATTTAAGATAACACATGCAGTCAATATGTACAGGGTGACTTAATATATATCATTAAACAAAAAAAAAATCAATCTGTACAAAGTGTTGCAAAAATAAATTATTCGGGAAAAAAACCTGGCGTCAATGAGTACAGGGTGGCTCAAAATACATCATAAAAAACTTAACGTATATTTGTGGCAAAAATACATTTTTTGGAAAAAACATGACAGTTTAACGAGGCCCTAACGTTCTAACATGCGATCCGTTAATGTGTACAGTGTGCCTTAAAATACAATTTATTATCACAAATTTCACCGATTGCGTAGTGAAGAACACCTTATTGAACCATAAAATCATTTGGGCTTTAACGACTGAAATCAGAGTAACTAGTTGAAATTTCCTTGGTAGTAGGTCATTGTCCAAGTATGAATCAAAAATTGGATTTTTTAAAAAACTCTCCTGCTGCTGATTTCATCTAGAATATGCTCTAATTGAAAGTTATAAAAAATCCTTGTTTTTTTTATAATTTTCAGTCTTGGGTTGAAATTATTGATTAGCACTAAACAATTATATGATTTTTCATTGGAAAATATTACTTTAGGAAATTCATTGCCTTTTGATTTTAACTAATAATATTGTATTTGTAACGAATTTTTAATAAAATTCTAAAAAGTTTTATAATACTAGGGTAGCGTCGCGAAAGAACACTCTGTTGGTACATTAAATATTCTCACACATGCCAATTCATTTATTTCGTTCTCCGGTTAAAATGAACGAATCAATTGTAGCCTGGGTCTGCGAATCTCATGGAAAAAAGTAGCTACGAAAAAAACCGTCTCGTATGTTTCGGTCGACGTAACAGTGACTGCCTAGATTTTGGATAGATTGGATGAATAGTACATATTACGTATCGTTATTAACGAATTTTCCACTATTTTTATTCCAAATCGGCGAATCTCATTTTGGGTTATAGTATTTTTTTTTATATCGCCGGATTCTCTTTAACAATAGATGATAAGTCTATGGTATATTAGTATTCAACGTCTCAAGGTAGCGTCGGGTTTTTGCACATGAAGTGAGTTGTCGAAAATTATATTCCGTTTTATACCACGTTTTTTGTCTCGATCAGATCGTAACACTTTGAATGGCTTTTTAGGTGTTTCATGATACCGTTTCGACTTGTATTTCCAATTCTTCCGAAGAATAGGAGTTTGTGGTAGTCTTCGAGCTAATAAAAGGTTTAGATACTATTTTTTGGAATTAGGAAGAACGAGTTCTATTTATCTTCGATCTAACAAAGGACAGCTGATACGGGAACTGATGAAGTCTTACCCTATCTCGTGAAACGTCCCGATTGGATTCGCTTAAGGACATAGTGATAAGTACCACCCAGTGTATGTTTCTTTATTTTATTTGCCTAGTGCGCGCACAAAAGGAAAACACTTGCTGCGCATGAATAAGCCGAGTATATTTTTCCTTGCAGTCTTGTAGAATGTATATATACATGTTTAGTTTGGTTTAGTTTTAGTAATAAGTAAGTGCGTTGTAAGATAAAGACTGATTTTTTCATAGACTTTATTCTAGAACCGTTCTCTCGAGAGTGTTTCTTTGCCTTTACCTCTAAATTTTGTATAATTTGTATTATAGTATATTTACGGCTATTATAGAGACCTATTTATACCAATCATCTATTTATTAATTTCAACTAACCTATAATTTGGCAAGTAAGCCAATTGGATTTAGTGATTTCAGCTTAAAGAGAGGTGTATGTTTTATTTTGTAGTAAATCACTTGGCGCCCTCTCATACATTTTCTTGTCTGATGTCAGTGATATATTAGTCGGTGCATACACCTGAACTGTTCTATCGCTTACTAAGAAAAGCCAAAAATCACGTAACAAAAGTTACAATGTATCCAATCGAAATCAAATGATGAGTCATGTCAAAGTCAAATCTGCTATCAGCGTTTTCTTCCTATTCTATCCCTGATGTCTATAATGTATCACGGGTAAATGAAGCAAACGAACTGAACCATTCCTCACCGCACTTTATTACTATTCAGAGATATGGGAGTAATGTTTATGGTTGAACGAGTCGAATGCAAGAGAGGCATCCCAAGGTCAGTACAAACCGAACAAACAACAAATACACAGTTCAAAATGGGGTAATAAATCACTCTATCGATTAATTTGTAATTAGATTATTACATGTTCATTCAATGAGTTGTTAAAATTCCTTTTATAGTGTTTAATCTTCTAATTTATACCTGAACTCTGGAAAAATCATCAGAGATCGAATAGGTAGTTTATTCATCAATGCCTAAATCATTGAGTAGTTCACACCTAAATTTAAATTAAATTATTGGTCGTCATGTATGTAGAATGTTTATTGTTCAAATTGTTAAAATATATAAAGCACTGAATTGAAAGTTATCTCATAGCAGAACACGTGTTGCGGTTTTGTGAACTGTGCAGTGAATACCTCATAATAAATTTTCATTTGAATGTAGATTTTTTTCTGAAAACCTGTTTAAGGGAACATTAATATTTATTTTATTCATCTTATCATTGAAAATATGAAATTCTTCGTAATTGAAATAACTTTATATGAAATTTTTTGACGATGATGAAGTCCTATGTCATTAATATAAAAAATAAACATTGTGAACAAACA